CGAATTTATTACAAAAAGTAAAATAAAAGAAATTGGAAGCAAAAAGGAAGATTTTGAACTTATTGCAGATGCTTCCACTTTACATGGAGATTCGGTGTTTAGTCTATATATTCGTACATTAGACCAAAATTTAAAACCAAAAGAACGTAAATTAAAAATTGGAAGTTACTATGGTACCAAGACGGGAATGGCATGGGAAACTTGGATTAGAAAAGTACTGTTTCACTACAACCTTAGTATTGAACATTTAACTGGAATAACCGTTGATGGTGGTTCGGATATGACGATGCTTGGTATGAGATTACAATATTTAGTTTCTCAATATAAAAAAAGAAAAGCAGAAAGGTGTATATACAAATTAAAACAACAACTTAATGATGACATTTGTATCAATTCTTCAACAATTTCAGATGAAATTATTCAAAAACAAAATTATATTGAATTTTTGAACACCAATGAAGGAAAGCAAAAGTCGTTCAATTATAACTACTGTTATAACCACCGAACATCAAAAGCATGTAATAAAATTTTCGAAAAAAATGAGGGATTGATTATCAACCAATTTATTAAAGACATTTCAACGCAATATTGGAGAGGACTTTGGAATGATAACAGGGTTAACCATCAAATAAACATTGAAACGTTGTCAAACCGGTATTACGCATCAACACGTTTTGGATACAACGAATTAATTCTATCATTCATTTTCGAACACTTTGATACATTTAAACAATTTTTAAATGAAAAAATATTACTTTGAACAACCGAAAGTTGAAAGAAATTTACTTGAAGAAATTACACTTGAAAATCCCTTGTTTGTATCCGTACTTTTCTTTTGTGATTATTTACTCTCAGAACTCAGAAATATTATGGATTGGCTACAAAGTCCAAATAGATTACTATGTGAAAGTTACTGCAGAATTTGGAATTACATACGATATTTGTTCGATTTACGAGATAAAGTGAAAAACATTAACAATCCCTTTTTCCAGTCATTACCATTTGTTCTAGAAAATGAATCTTCTGATATTGAAAGAGCTCGAATTGTTTGTGAAGGTTTACTAACCAGGCTCATTCAGACTTTTGTTTTTCGATTTGCACATCCTTTGAAAAAATGCACTCGAAAAGAAATTGGAGGGAATAACGGTGTAAAAGAATGTGATTACATAATAAACTATTTTAGTGAGTTTATTGAATTGTATGAAAAGGTCACACCAGACTTTTTAAAAACACAAATGAGTGTTTATTTGTTAGCTTCTGATGAAATTGAGTTAATATCACATTTGAACGACCTGGATATTTCAAGAGAGTGTGAACAATTAACGATATGAAAATTTGCTCATGTGGATATTGTAAATTTTTTAAACATGAAAGAAAATGATCAAAGTTGGAAGAGCAAAGATATTAAATGTTCAACAAAATTTAAAAATGCTTTTAAATTGAACCCAAGAAGAAGTGGACATTTTAGAACCGATTACAACCGATTTTTGTATGATGAAGATTTGATTAAAATTCGATGTCTTGAAGATATACAATTGGAAATATTGGTACAACGTTACAACTATAGAATGTGGACAAATGAACACATTTCCCAATTTATGTGTATTTGTTCAATTCCAAAAATAACTACCCAAAATTTATTTGAATTAATGGATGAAAACGACAGAATTTTATTCCCAACATTAACAGAAAATATAAGATTAACCAACTTGATTGCAGTCACAAGTTGTTCCGTTGAAAGATCTTTTTCGGTGTTAAAAAGAATGAAACATTGCAACACAAAAACAAAAACAGTAGAATCTGGAGTATCTGTTCAAGAATTATTTATTATTAATTAAATTGTCATTTTGTTGTAAAATATATATTTAATTTCTGATTATTTTGGGGTATTTTGATTTTATTTTTTTTTAATAATTAACAGAAAAAGAGTAAAACCAGCCCACCCATCTCCATGAATGGGTAAGGGTATGGGCTTTTGGAATGATTAAGGAATCAACAGACATCCTTTTTCTAAACCTCACCCTTAAGTTAACAAACTTTTTTTAATAAAACAATTATGAACAACTAAAATTAATATTATGGGTATATTTTTTAAAGTATATTATAACTTATTAAAAATTAAACTAAATCGTTGATACAATACATAAATTAAATAACCTATTTTCAACAATGGGTTATTTATACATTCAACAACAAATTGTTATTAAGCAATACATGACAGATAATTTTGAATTTGGGTAAATTTTAAGTGTGTGATACTTTAGTGATATTATTAAAAAAAATATAAAAGTGGGTTGTATCACACTAACAAAATATCCAAATTTAAATGATAACATATACTATGTAAAGTACACTCGAACCTTTCAAGAGTGAGTGAGTGAGTGGGAATGATAATTTCTGTTCTCTAAAGAGCAAACATTTTTTGTCTTAAACCAAACAACAACAGTTTTAAAACGCGGTTTTTACGGTTTGATTGACAAAAAACGCCGATTCTTAAAAACTTGCTTTCCAAATGTATTGCTTTCGATTGGTATGATTTTACATAAACAAAATATCCTTTTGATAAGTAAACGTTGTGCAAAAATACACATTTAATTATGTTATAATGTATATGTCAAATGTATCGTTGAAATTTTTAAATTTTAAAATTAATTATTTTTTATTATATTTCGATTGTATTGAAGATACAATTTGAAAAGTGAAATGTATTATTTAATGACCCTATTCAAACAATACATCACATCAAAACACTTAGATCTTGTGTCGTTTTTTATAGTATCGATGTTATTATGAGCAATTGTTGTAAATACTCTCATTCTAATATACAAAACAAAAAATGAATAATAAACATACTTAGCAATAGTTTAAACATAATTATTATATATATAAGAACTAAATTGTTGTTTACAAATACAAATCAGACTTCGGTACTGTTCCTTTTTATTGTAAAAACATGTTTTAATTTTGAACTAAGTGACTTTTTATTCAAATATCCAAACGTTATGAAACGATGAATAAATGAAAATGTTTTAACACATCGTTCGTCTGTTGATCAAGCATTTGAACATGTTGTTTATTTATTAATATTGTCGAATGAAAACTTAATTAACAATAAGTGTGTATTGTTTTAATCAAGGGTTATTATTTACTAACAAATAAATTATATATTTTTATTAGTTAACAATAAATGTTTGATAGAGATTAATAATCAAACACTTATTATTATAATTAAATTATTAAAATAAACTATTATTATAAAGTATAATAGTATCTTATAATAATAAATTATTTTGATTTAAACATTAGTTAATTGTATAATATATTTTAACTAAAAAAATAAACAATATATATTATAATTTATTAAATTAAAAAATTATTTATTTTTAGAAAAAAATATTAATTTAAATTTTTTTACTTGTTATTTCGGGTTGTTTTTTAACATAAATATAAAAAAAAGCTTCATAATTAATTTTTTTAAATAACCTATACTTAATAGTAAAATTAATATATACCAATACCAACTTTTTTATTTTTATTTATTATGTTATATTAGGTTGTTTTTAAGAAAAAAAAACGGGCAAAGTTTTTTCGATGGTAAAAAATAAGACGAATTTGCCAAAGAAAAAAAAATAACAAGTAAATTTTCCAACCATGGTGTGCAACAATAATTCAATTTCTTGTTTGTTATTATAATGACACAATAATAATATTATAAAAAATTTCCGTTTGAATGAAGATGCAATCTGATTTGAAGTTATGTATAACTTTTTTTATCATCTTTAATGATAATTGTGATTACCAATTCATTAATCGTAAATTGAAAATTGAAAAATAAACAGAAACTACAAACGATGAATGTTAAGAATATTAATTAACAATAACACCTATATATGTGATAACATTTACGTTGGATCACGAAATTGTATAACAAGTTAACAGTTTCGAGTTTTTTTTAGTACGTGAAATATCAGTATAAAATAAATTTTCAATGAAACAAACACATATGACAACTATGAAACTTTAACATTTCCATGATATCTAACACGAATTTCCTTGTGGTGTTTTTTATTTGAACCAGACATCATAATTTTTTATATAAGTGGATTTTCCAAACACTTCTGAAAACAATAACTTTGTCCAGACTAGTAGACTGAGTCTCTCTTGATTGCATAAAGCACAAAAATAGGTATTATGTTTTCTAATTCTATAAATATTATTCTGTTCAATATTATTAATTAAAATAATACCATATTAAAATAATAATAATTCTTTTTAATTTAATTTATATAAAGAATTCAAACAATCTAAATCAGTTTTTCTTATCGGTTTGTTTTGATAGTACTTCGAGTATAATTCACATCCCAAAAATATGGTTGTTATAAAATTGTGTTTATTATTGATTATTATTTGTTTATAATGATATGTTTAAATCAATAAGTGTGGTATTATCATTTAACTGATTGTTATAATAGAAATTGTACATTTTTGGGAAAACACAGAGTTTTATACATTCTAAGGGTTTGTTATTCGATAAACTGTCGAACCATAATATTTTATTAAAAATTAGTAATTTAATCATCATTGTTTATTTTATTTATAATTGTATTAATAAATATAGTACATAAAATAGGAATTTTATGTCGGCAAAATACTCTTTGATTGATTAAATTTAATAAACTCACATTATGTTAAATATAGTACAATATAAACAATTATTTAATAGTTTGGATTAATTACATTGTAATATTCAATAAAATACTGTTTACAATGAAGGTCAAATATGCTCTTGGAGACTTATTCTTTGTACCAAATGAATAATTTGAATTTTGCTGTTATTTTAGTAAAATGGTCGAAATCTTCATCCACACAAAAGCTGATTAAACCACCAGAATTATTCGAATTGTAAAAAACCCAAAATTAAAAATTATAAAAATAGTTTTAAATCACGAGAATTCTTTTGGTTGTATTTAAAAAAATGAAACTTGGTTTCTCATATTCGAATGTCACACTTAGTTCACCGGTTAGCAAGACTCGGCCAAGAGGACCTTTTTGTACAACCCATCGGCGCCACGACACCAAAGGGAACCATCGTAAAACACACACAACTTACTTTTGATGATGAAAAGAAGCATCGATCAAACTCTACTGGAACCCACACTAACAAACATTTCAATTTAACGGTGTTTACTAAACAACAATCAGAAGATAAATTACCAAAGCGGCTCATGAGGTCATTTGATTTCGACGATGAAGACTCAGAAGTATACGACATACTTTCAAACATCAAAGAAAAGGTAGACAAAGACGAGGACACGGACTATCAAAGATGCAAGAACCCTCCTCTTTCGTTCAAGACCTTCAATTTTTAACACTAAATAAATACTTTGTACATCATTAAGTTTCGACATTAACACATTTCTATTGTCAATCACTTTTTTATTTATTAACACTATACCATTTGACTCAGACTATTAAAACAGCATCAATCCCATTTTCCCAAATATGTTTCATAAACGTCCATTATATAAATAGTTAATCGGAATTAAACAATTATTGAATCGAATTATTCAAAATAATTTGAAACACTCAAATCAATCCCTCAAAAACAAAATAATGAAAACTAACGCTTTTTTGGAAAAAAAATGTACATCAAAACCACATATTATTAAAATAAATATTAAAAATATTTAAAACTTGTTTTTTTTGTTGTTATAAATTTTTTTGATTTAAAATATATATATATAATAATAAACAGTTAAAATGAATTTAAATTACAAATAATTAAAAAAATTAAAAAATGAATATTTTTTTGATTTTTTACATAAATAATGAAAAACCCCAATGGAGGAGATCAGATAATACTAAGAGAAAGCAATACTCGAAGTCGTGTGTGCCGAACTATAACGGTTTGACGCAAAATGTTTAAATTCTTTGTGTGTAAAAACTTAATAAATCTAAACTGTTATTTATTTGATTTTTCACCATAACAATCATTAGACTAAAAATATAATCATATATTAATTTTTATTATATTTAAAATGAGATTTGTTTTAAAATTATGAACTTACAACATTAATAATACCAAGAATAAAACTTATAACAAGTAACAACCTAATGGAG